AGACTGGACCAGAGCAGCCTTTATTCTAGGACTAATTATTCCCCACTACTGAGGCAAGATAGAGTACTCTTCTGTGTACTCCATCCAATGCCCCATGAATCATGAAGTTTTTCAGTCTGCCTGGTATAAACAGACACTATTCCTGACCCTATGTTGGTACTGAGCACTGTTATTTCTAATTCTTTTGGGTAGTTTTTTCTAGATCTTGGGTAGTTTTCTCCCATATATATGGTGGTTGGTATTCAGTTGAATACTCAAGGGGGACCATCTGCATATCTCCAGAACTGTATCTATGTGTGGTCTCTCCAGTACTCTATCCTGGAAACTCAAGCTACCTTGGTCTCTCAGGACTCTCAGCTCCATGCTCTTAACTAAGAGAGTTTGCCAGGCTCTGCCTAGGTTCACCCTCCCTGCACCATGGCCTAGAAATTCTCTTAAGGCAATAAACGGGGACATAGAGTTTACTTCATGTATTTCTGTCTCCTTCATTGCTGGGTGTGTCTTGAAGATCATTGTTTCATATATTTTATCCACATTTTGGTTATTTGGGGCAGATGGTAAATTTGATCTCTGTTACTCCATCTTAGCTGGATTCCTATTGTTATTTTTCTCTTTAATGATTTGGACGCTCTACAGCCTTTTAATGAAGATTATCTTTACATTTTTATAGATCATCTCTAAGTTCACAACTGTTATGTACAGAATGTTTCTGTCCCCGCCAAAGTCATATGTTGAAATCCTAACCCCCAACATGGTGGTATTAGGAGGTGGGAGCTTTGAGAGGATTAGATCATGAGGGTGGAGCCCTCCTGAATGGGATCAGTGCCCTTACAGAAGATAGCAAGAGCACTCTTGCTATCTTTCCACTATGCGGGGATACAAGAAGTCGGCAGTCTGCAACCTGGAAGAGGGCCCTCTCCAGAACCTGACCATGCTGGCATCCTGACCTTGGACTTCTAGTCTCCAGAGCTGTGGGAAACACATGTTTCTTGTTTAAGCCACCTGGTCTATGGTAATTTGTTGTAGCAACCTGAACTGACCAATGTAACAGTTTTATATGTAATTGAACCAGTATTCTAACAATTTAAGCAATGAAATAATCTACTAAGTCCCTTTTGCCAATAATGAGATTTTTAGCATGTTTTACCTCCCTGCTGCTCCAAATTATTATTTATAATATATTCCAATAACATTTGCATTGTTTGTTAAATTAACAATGAAAAATTAGACTTAGCTATAAATTTGGTTTCATTGCTCACTACCTATAGTCTCATGTCCTTCTGCTTCTTGAGTTATTTACTTCCATTAATTTTCCAACCAACCAGTTACATGACCAGCTAATTTTTTTCAAGTGGTGGACTTGGGATCCTTACATGTCTAAACATGTATTTATGTTCTCATTCGTGATCATCAATATTCAACCTGCTGTTGGTGGCCGATGTCTTATTTTTACATGTGGCAGTGTTTTCACCATTAAAAAATGTTTTTCTGACTTAAATTGCTCCCTTTTTATGACTGGCTGATTTTTTTCTGATAAATGGAATATTAATGGAGATTTTCTTAACCTTTCTCCTGCTTCTTGCAGTAACTCAGTGTCATTGAGAACAATGTGTTCTAGTTTCTCAGGTTGGTCTTCTTTTAAATTACCAAATTGTTATCACATTATTTTTCTCCATGCTTGCTCTTTGAAGAGTAGGATCTCTGTCCAGATTAGAGTTGGTTTCCATCAAAAATGTGTGGCCCCCTGTGTAAAGGCCCAAAAGAAGGGAAATGGAAAGATTTCTATTTCTTATGGTGATGTTTTGCCAGATTAGAGATCTAGTTATCTTGTGTGGTAGTGATTGAATCCCCAATAATTTGGTGAAAGTTTCCTTTTTCCTGTTTATTCAGGTAGCCAGGAACAGCTGGGGCCATGGCGCCCTGCTCTGACTCTGTCAGGATTCCGGTGCTGAAGCATCCCCTGCCCTCCCCCCATTCCTCATTACTTAGATCTTGCAAACAGGGTCCTGGCAGTGTGAACCCCAACACTTTGCTCACTGTTCTTGAGACCAGCAGTGCCCTGCATTTTCCCAGGGTCCCCCAACCATGTCTCTGCCACCCTATTGCTGTCTCCAAGTGGCAGCTGTCTCCTCTAGGAGTCCTTTCCGCTTCCTTTCCAGCCAGACCCCCCCCCCCTCACGTGCAGTGACTTGTGGCCTGGTTGGCCCTAGAATCAGTCACTTCTCTCCTGCACCACAGTGGTCCTCCCTCACCCACCACAGTAGTCCTCTCTCACCTACCATGGTGGGTGATCCTCCCTCACCCACCATGCTGGTCCTCCCTTACCCACCACAGTAGCCCTCCCTTACCCATGGTCTCACTTCCTGTGGTTTAAGTAACCCATGGTCAACTGGGGTCTGAAAATAT